TAATCCACCTAATCCGAACAAACCCATCTTAATCAAATAAAACCCTACAAAATTAAATCCAAAATTGCAAATAATTGGAGTTTGGGATACATGTTTGTGCATGCGTCTTTGTACAGTGTAGGTGGGGGTGAGATTGTTTGACTCAATAAGCTTTTAAAGGTAGCTGTTAGTTTCTTCCAAACAAAGAACAATGTTTTTTCTTTCTTATTAAACAGTAGAACAAGGTAGAATTTTTGGTGTGTCAGTTTTCTTGGTTTTGTTTTTGTGTTTGGTTTGGTGGCTTGGGGATAATTGGTTCCTTTTGTATTGTAATGCCCCTGTTTGTGTGTGTGTGTTAGGTGGTTGTATATATGCGGTAGTGGTGAGATTTAGGGTTTTTAGTAAGAAGAAGATGACAAAGAGTAAGAAAAAGAAGTAGTTGGCAGTGGTCAGTGAATGATTGTGCACGAGTCAAAAGAGGTTGGGTTTGGGATTTTTAGATTTGTTTATTACTTGTCCAAAATACCTTTCTTCACCAATCACTTGGGTGTCACATGTGTCCATTCCGTTATCAAAATTAATGGAATTGGATGGAAGACGCACGTTGATACAAATTAAATAGTTGGAGGGTTCAATTGATACAAAATTTAGTTTAAGAGCTAACACATGTAATATAGTTCTGGGACAATTTATGTAATTTACTCTTTCAAAAGTGTTACTTTGCTGATGTGGTAAACATTTTGTGGTCAAATCCTCATTAATTTAAAAGCTGTGGTTATCCTANCGATACGTATCGTACGATACGTTACGATACAGCCCTAAAACGATACGGATCGTAGTTATGTATCGTTTTTGCGTTGTATCGTCTGATACACGATACTTTTTTACGATACGATACATATCGGTATGAAACGCACGATACGTGCAATTTTTTTTTTTTTATAAACGACGTCGTTTTGTGCTCTGATTTTTTTTTTTTAATCCTTATAACCACTGAAACGACGTCGTTTCAGTGGTTAGGGTTACAAAAAAAAATTCCCTCATTTCTCACATATTTGCCCTTCGCTAGTCAGACGTCTCTGGTTTCTCTTCAGCCATCGACGACGAGTGGCGATCGCTATGGGTGGTGATCGACTGTGGGTGGTGATCGACTGTGGGTAGTGATCGACTGTGGGTGGTGATCGACTGTGGGTGGCGATCGCTATGGGTGGCGATCGCTATGGGTAGTGATCGCTGTGGGTGGTGATCGACTGTGGGTGGCGATCGCTATGGGTGGTGATCGCTATGGGTGGTGATCGCTGTGGGTGGTGATCGACTGTGGGTGGTGATCGCTATGGGTGGCGATCGCTGTGGGTAGTGATCGGCTGTGGGTGATGATCGACTGTGGGTGGTGAACGTTGTAGGTGGTGATCGTTGTGGGTGGTCTTCGACTGTGTGGGTGGTCTTCGACTGTGGGTGGTCTTCGACTCTGGGTGGTCTTCGACTGTGGGTGGTCTTCGACTTTGGGTGGTCTTCGTCTGTGGGTGATTGCTTGTCTCCGACTGTGGGTGTTGATCGCTGCCTTCTTCCTTCTCCAGGTACTCCTTCTTTTTCTTCTTCTTCTTCTTCTTCCCAGTCTCCATTGATCGTTGGTCCTGTGCAGTATGTAATGATATTAATTTATTTACAAAGCCAAATGTATATAAATTTTTTTGTATAAAAATTTCTGAATCTTGATTAATTTTAATTTTGTGCAACAGTGGCATCACCTGCATCCAATTTTCATATAGAAATGACTAAAAAACTTGCTAATGATCCCACATGGGAACATTGTGACAAAGTAGAAGGATCAAGGTTGAAATTGAAATGCATTCATTGTGCAAATGTCTATTGGGGAGGCATTTCAAGAATGAAAAATCATTTGGCAAGTAATCGCAAAGATGTAGCAGCGTGTAAGCATTGCCCTGAGGAAGTAACTGAATTTTTTAAGCAATTATTGGATGATAGGGCAATTAGCAAAGATATGAGTCTTGTGGATTCGAAAAGTAGTGGCAGTGTGGGTAGTACTACTGCTGATAAAATACAGCCAACCACCACAATTACTTTGAATACTATGTTGAAGAAAAAGGGTAGGGAAGATGTATGCTTGGATATTTGTAGATGTTTTTATGCTAATGCCCTTCCTTTTAATTTGGTAAAGGATCCATATTTTGTAAGAATGTTAGAATCTGTTGCATCGTTTGGTAAGGGATTGAAACCTCCATCGTATCATGAGGTGAGATGTTCTTTTTTGAAAAAAGAAACAAATTTGATTAATGGTGGGTTGATGGAAAATTATAAAGCAGAGTGGAGAAGGACGGGTTGTACTCTTATGTCTGATGGATGGACTGATGGGAAACATCGCTCTATCACTAATTTTTTAGTGAATAGTCCTAGAGGAAGTGTGTTTCTTAAAAGTATTGATACTTCAGGTATTTGTAAGAATGCGGATAATCTTTTTGAGCTTTTAGATTCAATGGTAGAAGAGATTGGTGAGGATAATGTTGTTCAGGTTGTAACTGATAGTGTATCGGCTTATGCANGGGGGTGAGATTGTTTGACTCAATAAGCTTTTAAAGGTAGCTGTTAGTTTCTTCCAAACAAAGAACAATGTTTTTTCTTTCTTATTAAACAGTAGAACAAGGTAGAATTTTTGGTGTGTCAGTTTTCTTGGTTTTGTTTTTGTGTTTGGTTTGGTGGCTTGGGGATAATTGGTTCCTTTTGTATTGTAATGCCCCTGTTTGTGTGTGTGTGTTAGGTGGTTGTATATATGCGGTAGTGGTGAGATTTAGGGTTTTTAGTAAGAAGAAGATGACAAAGAGTAAGAAAAAGAAGTAGTTGGCAGTGGTCAGTGAATGATTGTGCACGAGTCAAAAGAGGTTGGGTTTGGGATTTTTAGATTTGTTTATTACTTGTCCAAAATACCTTTCTTCACCAATCACTTGGGTGTCACATGCGTCCATTCCGTTATCAAAATTAATGGAATTGGACAGAAGATGNCACTTGGGTGTCACATGTGTCCATTCCGTTATCAAAATTAATGGAATTGGATGGAAGACGCACGTTGATACAAATTAAATAGTTGGAGGGTTCAATTGATACAAAATTTAGTTTAAGAGCTAACACATGTAATATAGTTCTGGGACAATTTATGTAATTTACTCTTTCAAAAGTGTTACTTTGCTGATGTGGCAAACATTTTGTGATCAAATCCTCATTAATTTAAAAGCTATGGTTATCCTAACATGATTCCATTCACACAAGATTATTTGAATCAGCAATTACGTCACAATGTTCCCTTCCGATAGAAAACAACACCGGGCCCACTTGCCTAATAGTTTAAACAATTCTACGGCATTAAAAATAAATATATANGTCTTCGACTCTGGGTGGTGATCGATTGTGGGTGGTCTCCAACTGTGGGTGATTGCTGGTCTTCGTCTGTGGGTGATTGCTTGTCTCCGACTGTGAGTGTTGATCGCTGTCNGAAGGGAGATGGTGTAAAAGTGATGGATATTATACTAGCTGACCAAAATTTTTGGGAATCAATCAAGTATTGCTTGAAGNTATATCACAATATTATTATTTTTTTAAAGGCAAAACTATAATTATTAGAAGTAATTTATAGGAAATTATGAAATGTTATGATCAATCATAAATATTTTTTTATCAATTGTATTTTAGTATTTTAAAATGTATAACTTGATATTTAAAAATTATAATTTTGGGATTGATATTTTTTTTTTTACAATTATAACTTAACCTTAANCATTGGTGAAGGTGTTGAGGCTTGTAGATGGGGATCTAAAGCCTGCCATGGGGTATATTTATGAGGCAATGGACAAGGCAAAGGAACAAATCTAAAAAAATTTTCGTAATGTGAAGAAGCATTATGAGCCCATATGGACTATTGTTGACACTAGATGGAACATGCAATTACACAGACCTCTTCATGCAGCTGCCTATTATCTCAATCCCGCGTAAGACTTAATTTTCTCAATTTTTATATCATTTTATATCTATATATTNAGAAAACAACACCGGGCCCACTTGCCTAATAGTTTAAACAATTCTACGGCATTAAAAATAAATATATAGTACTGTATTAAAAAAATATTCAGTACTATATCACAATATTATTATTTTTTTAAAGGCAAAACTATAATTATTAGAAGTAATTTATAGGAAATTATGAAATGTTATGATCAATCATAAATATTTTTTTATCAATTGTATTTTAGTATTTTAAAATGTATAACTTGATATTTAAAAATTATAATTTTGGGATTGATATTTTTTTTTTTACAATTATAACTTAACCTTAATTATAAAATACCCCATTCAACTTTTGGTAGCTTTTCAATCATCATTTGAAGTTTTAATTTCAATAGATAGCTCCCTTAAAATTTGAATATTTTATAATTAACTTCAACGATTAATTTTAGACATAAAACATGACGTAAGTTAGATATGAGAAATTTATGTGATATCTACTTTGTTAAAAAGACACAATTACCCCTAAAAAGTGTGTGTGTGCATGTGCGCTCGCGTATGTTGATGTTGGATAGAGATGGAAGTGTATTAGATGAAGGGTGTAATGATACTTTAATGTTCCAATCATTACTGTCGGTCAATGTAATCTGCTTAAAATTTGAAGGGGGCAAAATGTAATATTTAAAACTACGGGGAGCTAATTACAACAATAGGCCTAATTGACGGGCATATTATAATTAATTCTTTATTTTTTAAATCAAAAATTTAAATGAAATAGCCGATTGGAACAAGAAAGTAATTTAGTACAACTCTGTGTTTGAGATCTCAATTAAGTGATTAGAGCAAAGAGATATGGACTAATATATTTTTTTACCAAGTCATGAGCCTATGCAAGTAGGCTAATTAGCTGTCGTGGCGACAGCACAGTCAGCAAAATTAACGGCAAAAGAATCTCCACGTGTACGTATCGGATTGACCTCCACACCCTCCCTCAAAATCGACAGGCATCCCATCATTTCCACCTAAAGTCTCGTTGCCCTCCTTCCGTTCTCTCAGTTCACTTCCATTTCATCAACAAATCGATCCATCGTAGAATGGCGGAAAAGAGTTTCAAGTACGTGATCGTTGGTGGCGGTGTCGCAGCTGTGAGTATCGATCGTTTAATTCATTTTTGATGCACCGTTAGAGTTTTTGATGAAAACATGTGATTTTGCAATTTCTGGTTCTTGTATTCTGATGATTCTCGTATAAATTGCTTAATCTACGGCCTTAATGTCTCGATATAATTTGCTTCATGCAGATCTGAAAATCCGATTTTGCTGTATTGATCTTTTAATTTCGATATTAAATATCCAGTCGATTATGAAGGTTTTATTTGTGTATTGACTATTTTTTTTGTGTGTTTATTCCCTTATTTGGAGTGTTTCTTTGTGAATCTCTCGCAAACTCATTAATTTCTGATGATTCAAATATATGGCTTCTGATGAGTTCTTACATCATCAGCTTCATAGTTTTAGATTCATGGAGTCTGAGTAAGTTCTATTATACTGAATGTCTAGCTTATTCAGTGAAAAAGATTTAATCTCACCTTGTAGGTCTTTTTTACTGGTTTTTCTCTTATGATAATTACCGATTGGTTTCTTACGTCTTCATGTTATGTGGCATTTTTTTTTCCATAAGAAAAGATATTATTTTGGTTTGCAGTTTCTCAAAATGTGTTAAATAAAGTTTGGTGCACATGCAGGGATATGCTGCTAGGGAGTTTACCAAACAGGGAGTTAAGCCGGGAGATCTGGCGGTTATTTCCAAAGAGGCGGTATGTTCTTCCGTACTATCATATGATATACTGTTGACATATTGAGTTATGCTTGATTGTTGTGTGAATCAACACCCTGATTTGTAAAGGTGAGTCCAAATTGCTTTTATAATGCTCTTGTTGTATTTCCCCTTCAAGAAAGTAGTCATTTGTCTATACAAGAGGAAAGAGAAGGTTGTTCGCTAATTGATTGTAAGTGGAACCCTAAAGTTTTTATTTTTGTTGTCTTTCAGTCCAATTGCAGAGCCACAACTAATATATACTAAAGAAATCAAGGGTATTAATAGCAATGTTAAAGGTTACATTTCTTGAAATGAATAAACTTACAAATTGTCCGAGGTGAGATCAACCTTTAGTGCTACTAGTGTATCAGAAAGATATCTTAAAGATCGCAAGTGATTTTACGNTACAATATTTGTATCTTACGATACGTCTTCCGATACACGATTTGATAACTATGGCCTCTAGTACACCTCATCCGTCGTTTTATATTTGTCACTATGATCTCTCACCTCACTGTTGTGTTAGTACTTTTATGTACGGTGGACACTANTGCCATTTGCCATGGGTGCCATTGCGGCACATCTTCTGCATTGAAAAAATTACACATGTCCAACGAACCAGAGAAAATGCTTATCATGCATCTTTGGAATCCGAAGTGAAAAAGAGAGTGTGCGTACTTTCAAGGAAATATTTGCATTTCTTTGTGCCTTTCTTTTCTCTTCATTTTCTTTCTGTTTCCTTTTTTTTTGGGCATGCACAAACCAATTGGGGACAGGGAGTCTTGGACATTTGTGCGTCTTGTAACAGAGCTTGGGAATGTGGTAGAATCCTCTATAGGATATCTGCCTCTAGTACACCTCATCCGTCGTTTTATATTTGTTGTCACTATGATCTCTCACCTCACTGTTGTGTTAGTACTTTTATGTACGGTGGACACAACCTGCTTCTTTCCTGGAATTTACATGAATTTGTTTTTCCGTATCATGATTTTCCGATGGACATGCACTAAACGATGCTTTCTTACCCTTCCAGGTGGCTCCTTATGAACGTCCTGCACTTAGCAAGGCATACCTGTTTCCTGAGGGTAAGAGAAATGAAAGTTTATTCTCTTTATGGAATTGGTTGTTGTTCCCCCTATTAATGCTGTGACTTTGTACTACATCACGCCAGTGGAAACTGACTTCAAATTTAAGTAGTTGGGAGGATCAAAGTTACATTTAGAGGCTTCTTGTCAAGCTTGCTGAAGTTACAGCCGACTCTTTTAATTCATTACTCTTGTTTATTTCTTCAAAATTTGGTTGAATGCCTTTCATAGATCTAAAATTCTTTCAATTATCCACACTTATTTAATCTCTAGGTTTCCTTGTCTTCCCATTATATCAAGCTTTGCTGTCTGATTTTGATTGCTGTTTAATTTTTCTTCAGGGACTGCAAGACTTCCAGGTTTTCATGTGTGTGTTGGAAGTGGAGGGGAGAGGCTGCTTCCTGAGTGGTATGCAGAGAAAGGTGATACTGGCTTTNCTTTCATAGATCTAAAATTCTTTCAATTATCCACACTTATTTAATCTCTAGGTTTCATTGTCTTCCCATTATATCAAGCTTTGCTGTCTGATTTTGATTGCTGTTTAATTTTTCTTCAGGGACTGCAAGGCTTCCAGGTTTTCATGTGTGTGTTGGAAGTGGAGGGGAGAGGCTGCTTCCTGAGTGGTATGCAGAGAAAGGTGATACTGGCTGTATTTTCCATGCATTTCCAGAATCTACATATTTATTTGTTGCTATTTTTCAAAACAGAAGCGCATTGGGTTACTTCCATTCCACCTTCTATCATTTTCTTCTGTTCTGTTTTGAAGGTGTCTTCAAATATACTAGTGCCCTTTTAACTGATTGTGTGTGAAATTGAAATAATATGCAAACTATTTGGATTATCACAGGCATATCATTGATCCTTAGCACAGAAATTGTGAAAGCTGACCTTGCTTCAAAGACTCTGATTAGTGCTGCTGGAGAAACTTTTAAATATCAAGTTTTGGTCATTGCAACTGGTTCCACAGTGAGTATTTTATCTCTCTAGATTTTTTCCAAATCTATATGTTCTGCTCTTTTCTTCATTTCCTTAACATCAGTCCTTATTTTCTACCTTTCCAGGTTCTAAGGTTGTCAGACTTTGGTGTACAAGGGGCTGATTCTAAAAACATCTTTTACTTGAGGGAAATTGATGATGCTGACAAGCTTGTAGAAGTAATCAAAGCAAAGAAAAATGGAAAGGCTGTCATTGTTGGAGGAGGATACATTGGTCTTGAGCTTAGTGCAGCACTGAGAATCAACAATATTGATGTCAGCATGGTTTACCCAGAACCATGGTGCAGTAAGTGGATAAGACTTTGAAATGTTTTCATCTTGTATTTTGTTTTAGTTCCTGGCTTCATTGGTTTAAGTGAAGGCATCCGCATAGTGGTGTTTAGATTTTATCATACAAGATATGAAGTGGTTGGCTCTTAGGTGGATTCTTTGGTTAGTTTGGTGCATCAAGTTTGATGCATATTTCATTTTGTTGCAGTGCCACGACTTTTCACCGCTGATATAGCTGCTTTCTATGAGGGTTACTACGCAAACAAGGGTGTAAAAATTATTAAGGGAACAGTAGCTGTTGGGTTTGACACTAATGCAAACGGAGAAGTATGTTCTCCACCATATGAAACCTCTTTGTTGCTCTAGCAATAAATTTTTTTTGAGCTTCAGAGCATCTACGTTTGACAATCCATTTCTCATCTTCAGGTAAAGGAAGTAAAACTTAAGGATGGTAGGGTTCTTGAAGCTGATATTGTTGTTGTTGGTGTTGGGGCACGACCTCTTACAACACTGTTTAAAGGTCAGGTTGAAGAGGAGAAAGGTGGAATCAAGGTTTGTGGGATTCTTCCTCTATGGATTCCCCTCGGAATATTTCATTGTTAGACATATTTGTTAGTTCTTGTTCATGTAAAAATGTTATGAATATATCTAACAGTATTTAGAAAAATATCAATGTCTACAACTGAAAACTCACTTTTGTTCGGATTTCAACAATTTTTTACGTTAGGATTTGTTTGTTGTAAAACTTGCTCCAGTGGGAACATAAAAGAACTCTTCTCGTTATTTTCCTGTAATTTTGGTTTTCGAAATCATTGTCCAAATCATGTGTAAAAAAATAGAATTAATACAACAAATCAAGTGCATCTTCAGTTGCTGCATCACTTTTTGTTGATAATGAATGATAAATGCATGGTGTATATAATGTGATGTTTGCACATTCAGTAATAGATCAGAAGTCTTCAATTGGATCAAAAGTTGAGCTGGGTGCAAGCTAATCACAGTTTAGAACTTCTATTTGACCATCAAAATGCATTGTGCACCCATCTAAACATGTGCATTTTATTATTGAACTCATTCATGGCCTTATGATTTGCAGACTGACGGATTCATGAAAACTAGTGTTCCTGACGTATATGCTGTGGGTGATGTTGTTACTTTCCCCTTGAAACTGTACAATGATATAAGAAGAGTTGAACATGTTGATCATGCCCGCAAATCAGCTGAACAGGCTGTGAAGGTATGCAGTTCATCTGTTTGCTCCGTTCTTATTTTGAAATGATTTGATCAATATTATATTTCTTAGCCAACAATATCTCAAGGTGAAAATGTGGAAATATTACCAAAAATTTAAGTTGATATGAGTATTTAGTGACTATATATGTGCGACAAATTTATTTATGGAATTATCCATTCTCCTAAATTCCACTTGCATGATCTAATTTGTCAGGAGTCAAATCATGACTTGTCTTGAACTCGAATCTAAAACATAATCCAGAATTTCAAATTAGGTTATTCTGTTGAAATTTCTTTGGGTTTTCCTTGATAATGTATATTTTGACTGTAAAACTTATGAAATCATTGAAGTGACATTTGAAGTAATTTCCATAATCTGTTCCGTTTTCAGATTGTATTGTGGGCTTCTTCTAGAAGTTTCCTCTACACTATCTTTCTGCTTTTGATAATACCCCTTTAGGTATATAAGGAACTCTCCTTAACTGTGTACAATGGTGAGGATCTCAATTTATTGTGACACTTAAGGAGTGAAGATAGGTATTCATGTAATTGGGCTCTAAAGAGTACACACAAGTTTTGTCAAATTGAGTTGAGTACGAGAAGCATCTGAACAGTTTTGTTTTTCGTGTAGGCAATTTTCGCAGGTGAACAAGGGAAGTCCATTGCCGAGTACGACTACCTACCGTACTTCTATTCCCGCTCCTTTGATCTGTCTTGGCAGTTCTATGGCGACAATGTGGGGGACACTGTACTTTTCGGAGACAACAATCCGACATCACCAAATCCCAAGTTTGGATCCTACTGGATCAAAGATGGGAAGGTAGTGGGTGCATTTCTGGAGGGTGGGAATCCTGAAGAAAACAAAGCCATTGCCAAAGTTGCGAGGATCCAACCTCCAGTTGAGAGTTTGGATCAACTGACAAAGGAGGGTCTCACCTTTGCGTGTAAGATCTGAATTATAGGAATGCAATAGTTGGGTTGAGTCGCTGGATTTTTCATAAATCCACAATGGTTTTTTGTTACTTTCCTAATGTGGTTTGTCCACTGGCTTTTTCTGATAGTGAACCTTAAGATTATGGATTACATTTACCATTAATGCATTATATATTCCTTAGTATGACTGGAATTCTGTATATTGTGGAATCTTATATGCGGAGCCTTAGCTCAGCGGTAAGATTGCTAGGGCTTACACATTACAGGTCACCGAAATTGTATTTTGGTACGTGTGGGTAAGACTGCGTGCTGTTGACTCTTTGGATTCTGTGGTGGGGAGAGTTGTATTTCTTTTTCTATAACTCTACTCCAGAATATGATGTGGTGCAGTGTTGGTGTTTTTCCTTGTATGCAAACAACAGTAATAACTGAAACTATCTTCCCAAAGGGTTTTCATATCCACTTTAGAATTTTCTTAGCGGGTCCCTTCAAAGATTTTATACTTTTCTCCATTGGATTTGCTTTCATTTCCTTGGTTTGAAGTGTTGTTCTCTCTTTAACATGAAATTTATTTAGGGCCCTAAGCAATTTTATTCGTGCAATTTTTTATTGCTGAAGTTATGGAATATTTCAAATAAATCCCAAAATTACAATACTTGTTATCCAATAGCACCATTCGAATACTGGTAATATTGCTTGGTACCATTATTTACAATAGGTTTTTTTTTACTAGGACTTTGGGTGATGAGAGAGAAAATCTCGTTAGAACTAATTCCCAAAAGAAATTACAAAGATTGCATCAAACAGAACTCATGACAAATGGAGACCAAGAAAGTAGAGAAGGGTTAAGTAACCTAAATGACAACCGTTTAAGACGAACATTCTTTTTCTGTCCACTTTTGAAATCTTTTTTTTCAAAAATGTCCATTCTTGAAATCTTAGGAAGAGGACTTACAAAAAAAAAATAAAAAAAATGAAGAGATGGGTTTCAATTTCGTTTCCTTTTGAGAATCATCATGAGTTAATTGCTTTAGGCAATTTTGTTTAGGAATCAAAGCATGGCAATCGTTAATTTTACTTCTCATGACTACTAGGTACGCATAGGAACATAATCTCTATTGATATATCGGTAAGTTTTTTCTTTGGCTTTTTTTTTTTTTTGGGAAGGGGAGGGAGGAAGGGGGTTTGAATCTTTTACCTCAATAAAACAAAACATTCACAAGACAATAAGTACTATTGAACCAAAAGTCCGTTTGTTATCTTTGTTTTTCTTATTTGAGTTGCTAAGTTGGAATAAAAAAATAAAAAATAAATTGGTCCCAGAAAATATTTGTGAATGTGGAACTTATTCTAACTTTCAAAATGATGTAAACATGATTGACAATAACATAAGAAATATTATCGAAAAAAAAAAGTTAGAAATAGCAAGGAGTTGGAGACAAGGTTAAGGTCTCATCCATCTATCCTTTGAACAATAAAGAACACACCAAATTACATTATTTTTTTTGATATGGATTAAACAAATACTAAGAATTATTATGGTGCAACGAATGAAACACCATTATCAAATTGGTGCTATTATTGTTCTTTTTAGAACTGAACTATTTTTATTGCTTGAAACATTTAGAACTGTTTAAGAGACCAAAAAGAAAGATCTTGATGGGGCATTAGGCAACTCAGTCATTAAAAAATCGACACATGAACAATCACAGTTGTTAGAAAACTCATAATTTGCTAGAAAGGAAGAGCCGATAAATTATGACAAATAAGGGCGAGTATTCCCCTTGAAATCCATCATTAAATGAGACCTGACAACTCATTAATGTGGGTCTAAATTGGCTTGATAGACTATTAATGAATATCTAGATACTCGAATAATGTGGAGACATTCATCGTTAGGGGGCATTCCTGGCCACAATACGACATGAAGACCTTGAGGGATCCCAAGAATATTTGCTTCCTCCTAATAAAAGCTCAAGCAAGATTTCCAAGCGCTGATGTGAGACATTTAATGATCGGGGATCGAGTCATGAATGCTTGGTGTTTCCCGAGTTTGGATCCCTTTGTTCAGGCGGGTTGGTCTTAATAAAACTTGACGTAGTAGCACTCATTATGTTAGAAAGTGAACACATACTATTAAATTTTAGGCTGAGACTCAAGGTCAGGACCATCATTATAAATCTAGATTTAAATATCTTTCAAAAAGTTAAGTTAAAGTATGCAATCTTAAATGCAGAACACATTGTGCATTATGACTATATTGATTGACTAGAGTTTTGAAGAATATTAGATGGGTAAACATCTGACTTTTTTCTTAATCCTTTGATTGTTTTAGGTTTATCATCTAAGATCACTCAAAAAGTCGCTATCTCAACACATCGAAAAAATCCACTCGTAGAGACCCATGTCAATGTCTACAATGACGATATCTTTATTCAAGTCAGAGTAACTTTTAGTTTTGAATTTATTTAAACATTATTATTGCTCTACATAAAAAAATTAGATGAAATACAAGACGAAATATATGTTATTTATGGTGAAAGAATACAAGAGGAAAAGAAAAAAAAAAATAAGGGCATGCACAGTGTTTTTTTTTTTGGTTATATTTAAATTGACCCGGTATTTACTCTTGGGAAAATTTCACTTACACTCCTCATAGTTTATTATATCTTTAAAGACATCCTCTTTATTATTAAAAATATCATTGACACCACTTCTAATTTAATTTAAACATTATTAACACCCCCTACCATTAAACTATCATATCTAACAAAAAAAAAATCATCTAAAATATCAAAAATGCCCCTACATAAATCTCAAGTAATTTTTCTACATAAAATTTTATTAAAATTCGAGCTGTTAAAAATTTTAGAAAAATTCGTAAATAACAATTTTAGTAAATGATTTGTTAGTAAATACTAATTTTTTATTTACTAATTTGTATATTTTTAAAAAAAATTGAGTCTATTAAAATTTATTTTTTACATATTAAAATTTGAGCTGATTTAAACTCTACACGAGGTATTAGCGCCGATTAAAATTCTCTTTCAAGTTGATTAAAATTTATATTTTTTTACTTATTAAAATTTGATTTATTAAAATTTATATTTTTTATATATTAAAATTTTGACTGATTAAAATTCGATGCGAATTGATTAAAATTTGATTTGAGTCGATTAAAAATAATTTTAAATTGGCTCAAATAAAATTTTAATTAGCCCAAATTTTAATTCGTAAAAAGAATATAATTTTTAATTGACTCAAATTTTAATATGTAAAAAAAATAAATTTTAATTAGCTTGAATCGAATTTTAATTGATTTGAATTTTAATACGTAAAAAAAATTAGAAAATATAAGGGGTCTCGTTGAAGATATACTTATCTAGAGAGAGTCTTATTAAAAATATGTTTATCTAGATGGGGTGTGGATGAAATTTGTCCTTAAAATATATCAAGGCCAATTTAATAAAATTGCATTCTAATTAATATTTTTAATCTGACATGGGGAGTCATTAAAGATTCAAAAAATAGAGGGAGTGTGGGTGAAATTTTTCCTTTACTCTTTGATTCATTGGCCCGTACAAAATCCGATCCGTTTTCTCGCCCGAGAAGCAAAGTGACCCAAACCAACTGAAAGTCCGAAACCCTAGCTATATATATGTAGATCCGTCTGTACTCTCATCCCAACCGATCGTACTACGCTTTGTGTTCAAATTCTTCTTCCCCGTTTTCCCGCAGATCCATAGGTACTCTCTCTCTCTCTCTCTCTCTCTCTACACACATACACACGTATATATAAGTCTCGTATATATAAGTCTCCTTGTATGTGTGCTCTCTTTCTTATAATATATTTTCACGTTGTAGTTTGAGAAGAGATGAAGGTGATTGCAGCCTATTTGCTAGCTGTGTTGGGTGGAAACACCAGTCCTTCGGCGGATGATTTGAAGGACATCCTAGGCTCTGGTTTTATCTCACCCTATGTACTTTGTTTTTTAATTATGTATCGTGAGTCAAAAGAATCATTATAATTGCCTCAAGTTTTTCTGTTTGGGTGCTTTTGCAAATCCAAACTCGGACACTTGGACGCTGCAATTAACCAGCATTTTGATGTTGCTTTGGCTGTGTTTTTTTTCCTTTTCTGTAGCCTCTGGAATAGCAATGTTGAGCAAAAAAATTGTTGACTGGAGTGGAAAAGAATCCTTTGTTGCTGGTGAAATCACCATGACTAATGTATGGAACTGCTGTCAAAGTTGTGCTAATTGTTCAACCTATATGTTGGTCTAACAAGCATGGAAATGGATATGGGATAAGGGTACGACAGGATGACAAAATCTCAAAAAGTAAGATATGGGTACGGCTCATATACATATATTAGAATATTAATACAACACTAGGGATACGAGGGATTAAGAAATAAAACACATCCAAACTAAAACAATTTATGTTCCTGAGGACTGCCTAATGATGTTTTAAATTCAAGATTCTATGTAATTATAAAGCTAAAGAATTGTCAACCTTCAAGAGTGCTCAATTTTTACTTAACATTTAATCGCAATGTACTTCAACAGGCTTTAACATAAGTCATAAAAACTCATTATTCAAGTCAAACAAATTATAAATAATTGATAAATCTTGTGATATATTTGATGCACGTTCAAATGGACATCTTGGATCAAGGAATTTCATTTGTATGATTCACGGTTTCTTAAAAACCCAATTCACTAAGTATAAGGCGCATGTATTCATCGTAGAGATACGCATATTAATTATATTCAATAATAATAAATATTTTATTAATTATTCGATACGTGCAAAAAGTATCTAATTAATATTCACAAGTATTCGATAAGGATCGGTATCTAATATGTATTAGATATGGATACATCACCCCGATCAAAGTATAGATGTTGGTATATAGGTAGTAATTAATGTTACCTAAATTGTGGGTCGATTTGGTGCGTAGTACAAGTATTGGTATGCAATATGGTACACCTTTCAATATGTGGTGCAGTAGGGGTAGGTTTAGTTGGTATGTTGTTTTAGGTCGTGATTTGTTTTCTTTATAGGATCACTTCCTCTATTATATGAGGTTCTATATAATTATACATTCGTCTATGTAGTACCCGATAAATTTAAGACTTGTGTCTACACTATGGAAAGATAAATGACAAGCTGTCATCAGCTGACGTGGCACAAAGGGGCCCAACAGGGTCTTGTGTATTGGTGTAGGTAGCAACACTACAGGAAAGCACCAAGCACCGCGTATGGGTATCCTCAGCTTGGGAGCCTTAGAGAGAAACTTTACATGTCCATTGTGGTAAAGTCAACCAATGTTATGTTGTTGTTCGACTAGTCTAAGGGATTGCAGGGAAGGATTCCCACTTAGGGACAAGGTAGTATGGCCCTCATCGACGGAGTACTGAGCCACGGGGTCCAATGAGCATGATTGTCGACCTTGACTTCATGCAGGGGTTCAAAAGTTTAGTTTGCTTGAGCAAGCCTCCCGATGTATGGCTCATTGTCTACTGGGATGTGCTTGACTTGGATCTAGAGGGACTCCTAAAGTACTAGGGGTTAATGGTCCAGATCAATGTATATGATGATAAGACATGTGGAGTGGTGGCTGAAAGATCAAAACTATGCAAGTTTCCTTTATTGGGCAAATTGACAAAAGCTTGGGATATAGGTTCAGAGAGGAAGGGGAGAACGTGGTGACAAGTCGCGACCACGTGCCTTTGGTATCCCTCTTTACCTCGTGAGCTGTACACTTCCTCGATGGTCGAGCCCAAATTGTATTTGAGGAAACGTCACATCTATCTAATTAATGCTGGAACACGTGGCACGCGGTGAGCGGTCACTAGTATCACTACAATTGAGGCAGTTGCAAGTAGGCATAGTTGTCAGTATAGCGCTAACCCTCATACAAGGGTAGTTGCGGGCAGGTCATGGGGCAGTCTAACCTCCCCGAGTACTATTCTATAAATACCTCTATCACATGCCTGATGCCTTGCAATGCACACTTTTATTTGGTTTGAGACAGACTGGTGGTTGGCATTCCATCCTTATATCCTACCTCATCTCTTCTAGTACACTGGCATAGACATGTGTCAAATTTTTTAACCCCCCACTTACAATCTACACATAGCTAACTAATATTTATTTTGGGGTTTTAGTTATAATTTTGGGTTTTGATGGCGATCCCACCCCGTTTCGGGTCACACGACTCCGGTTTGTGGGATGGTAGTGGTATCTATGTTCTTAGTATTAGGTATATACCGGTATAAAGAGATAGCTGATGACTTAGTCAGGCATTTGAATTAGTGGTTAGGCTAACAAAATCTCGTCTATGGATCAAATACTTATGTGTATTTAATCCTTGCTTGTTGTACCTTTGTGGAACTTTGTTGACTTTGTCTGGTTGAACTTAGGATGTTATTATTATCACACCATCCACCATTAATGGTGTTCCTGTTATTGTTTCTATTTTAGTTGTAGCATCATTTTTTTTAGTCTTCTCATGTGATATTGGTAGGAAACTCGTTAGTTTGTAATGTTGGTGATTTTGTGTGATAAGCTTATTTTAATAATGTTTTGTGTTAGGTGATTTTGCATTTGCATGTGCTAGAGTAATATAGAAATAAGGATCAAAATTTTGTTTCGAAGCGGTTAAAACGTCTGAAACCTTATGTTTTAAGAGAGACCGAAACGAATCATTGATGTAATTCTAATAGTTTGAGATTTTTCATAATCTTTTGAGATGTTTTGTAATGTTTCAATACATTTACACAATTATTTCGGAATGTTTTAAGGTATTTCAAGATATTTCAACCAATGTTTTGAAAATTAATTTTTAAATTTTTTATTTTTTTCATTATGTTTCTGAAATGGATTGAAACGTTTCCAAAACACATCAAAACGTGTCTGTGTCCTAGGCGACCAAAAACGAATTTTTGATACTGATATTTGTTATTGCTTTCTACCAAGAAGTGCATGATAATTGTATTATTACAAATCTTGAACTTTTTTCTCTGGCATACAGTTGGAGCCGAAGCTGAAGATGATAGGATTGAGCTTCTTTTGTCACAAGTCAAAGGAAAGGACATAACAGAGCTTATTGCAGCTGGACGGGAGAAGTTGGCATCAGTGCCCTCTGGTGGTGGTGGTGCTATTGCAGTGGCTGCAACTGCTGTGGCCGGTGGTGCCGCTGCTGCTCCAGCTGCAGCTGAGCCCAAGAAAGAGGAAAAGGTTGAAGAGAAAGAGGAGTCAGATGAGGTAAGCATTACTTGAAGTAATTGTTTTAAGACTTTTTATCCAATCATGTAAGATTAGTGGTGTCACGCATCCCCTCTATCAGTTAGTTCACCTTTTATATACCTGGTTACTTTTGTTAAACCTTCTTATTTCTGTGCTTCATTAGCATATGAATTTTGGACTCATAAAAGTTTTTGCACACTGCAAATAATATAGCCTTGTTTGTCCCAAACTTGAATAGAAAGGAAAGAAAATTTATGCACATGGCTTCCATTCGAATGGTACAAGTCTATCCGCCAAATGAGGATTGTCATACTTGGGAAGAAAGATCAAGAATTGACATGCTTCTTCTAACCCAATACTTAGAAGAAAAAAATGGAAAAACCGAGAATAGGCATGCTTGAGATTTGTATTTCATATCCAAAACTGATACTAGCACTTGTCATACTGCAATTAGATGTGGTTTATATTTTTGGCAAAAGTACTTCAATTATTGTTTACATTGCTTGCATGATAGATGTATTAACTTTTTGTTTTTACTTAATTGATTTTTTTCCGTCCATTTGAACTTGCTGCAGGATATGGGCTTCAGTCTTTTTGACTAAGCGGTTGGGAGGCCTGACTCTATGCATGAAATCTTGTCTTCCAGTAGCTGCTTATAGATTCTCAATGTTTTTTTTGTTATGAAGAGAGTAGCTTTTTGTTTTATTTGGTAGAAGAAACTGCTGAATAGCTAGAAGCACTGCAGTGAACACCATAATATTGTATTTGAATTTAAGAGTTGTTTAATGTGCAAATGAGACTAGTACTATGTTCTTTCATGAACTAGTTTCATATTTATGGGATGTTGAGTTGTTATAATTTTGGCCATGCGGTATCCTTTATAATTATCAACCTTGAATAGTGGTGTCTCGGAGACAAACCAACCAGACAGTTATTCTTAGTTGGGTTTGAGATATTTTTTTGCTGGTGTTGCTGGGTTTTAGATATTCCCCTTCACAAATTCCAGAAAGACCCAAGATTGAAATTGTGTACAAGAAACAACAAAGATTCGTCTTCTCGGAATACCAAAAAATCAGACAAGTATTTGGGGAAAACAAAGATACGATTTGAGTGTCCTGATCAACACTATATATGGGTGTGTCTGTGTGCTAACCTTAAAATGAGAAAAAAAATGTGGTAGATTTCCAATGCTGACTGCGGATTGGACACAATACATCTATACTTCCAAATGTCAGTGAATTTTTTTTATTTTCTATTTTATCTCTAATTAATAGTATAAAGTCAATTATATTCACATATATTTTGGCTTTCAAGTTTTTTTTTACTTTTTTGTTAATAAATTTGACTTCTAAGTTCTTTGGAGCTCATTTATTAGAAGTATAATTATATGTAACTTTTTATATCTAAGTCTATATAAATATATGAAGAAGTATAATACAATCTATATTCTACAATTATATACATGCAATTGTCAAATTGAATTTTCGATCAAATATATATTATATTTGATTTTTTGGTATAAAACAGTATTATAGTACAAACAATAGTATTACAATCTAAACAATTTATTTGATAAAAAATATAATAAATTTAAAATATAATTAGATGTTTAAATATTCAAGAATAACAATTTTATAATGAATCTTTATTATAAACAAAAAATGAAATGTCTAGAGGAGTAAGAGAGATACTTAGAAAAATGGTAGATTAAGTACTCAAAAATGGTAAAATAGATCAATAATTAGTGTTTGACTCAACTTACTTAAAAACACTTATTGATAAGTAAAAGTAAATTAATCATTATAGAGAAGTAAAAATAATTAGCTTTTTACTTTAAAAAAAATCGCTTCTTATTTTCAGCTCAGTCCCCTTTGATACCTCTGCCAAAACCCATCAATTGTGTGGGTTGTAGATATTTTATCTCATGTAGCCACTCTAATCTCGCCGCTGACGCTGATTCTGATGACGATGTCAACAGTGTATTCTCTCATCTCGCCGATCGAGATGATACTACCTACTCTCTCACCGACTACCGATGATGCCGGAGCCGTCTTCTATCTCACTGATCTTTGTTGTACCGCCGATCCAACCAAATCCTTCAAACAAGATATAATATCTTCTTTTTAACTAATTTTATAACATCAATTGCAACGATTTGTTGTGGGTTGATATATTTTGGTTTGTGATTTTTTTTTGGATGTTGAAATTTTGTAGATCTTAGAAAAATTTTGGGGAAAATGTTTTTTATTTATTTGATAGAGAGGTTTATTGTATATACAGGTTTTTGTGAGCAAGTAACTGATAGTGTATCTCCGTTGAAGCCTCTGGTGCCCAGGATTCTCTTTGAGATGTTCATGTTGGCTATAGGAAAAAAAGTGAATTAATGAAGATAGTTTTTTGTGGACAAAATAAGAATTTGGAAAGCACTAGCTGTTAATTTTTATGCTATTGTTGCATGCATACCAACTGTTTGATAGAATTCCTAACTTCTATCAATGATGTTGTGTTTGTTGTCTTCTAATGTTTTCTTATTCAATTTTAAGGTGGTGCAAGTCTTACTATTGTTCATCTTTATAGTCAAGTTTATATGCTCTGGTCCCCCAACCAAGTTCATCTTTGTATTAGAATTTAGATGCTGAAATTCTAAATTCTACAAATAATTACAATTTTATCAAATACTATCATGCCCATGTTGTGGAAAAAAAGATGTACGAAAATTTATGCAAGTGTTTTTTTTTTGTTTTGTTATTATTATACAAGTTGTGCTAATAACCTGTGTATTTTGTAATGTTATTTTAGATGACTTCTAGCAGTCCTAGGAATGAGGAAGACAAAGTAAGCCGGACCGTGGAGAGATGTATTATTTGAAAGTATGTGAATGAAAACATGGAGTAAAAGGAGGAAGACAATGTAAACCAAATTATTTTTAAAAGGGATATTGATTTGTTAGATGCAAATCCAATGTATAGGAGAAAAGAACGTATTGCTTCAATAATTTTAAGGGACAATCAAGCATGACTATTTGATTGTATTTATTATTAACATGTACTTTACGACTTTTGTATGTACTTAATGTCGTTTGGATAGTTAGACTATGTAGTTTTTTTGTATGATACCTTTATTAATATGATACTTTGTGTATGCTATTTTTTTTGTGTATTATTATACGTGTAGTGTATGTTTGTATATGTGCATTCAATGTTGTTAATAATTATGACGCAAATAATTATTTTCACATCTAAACGTACTTTTTTATAAAATACTTTAATTTAAGTATTTTTAATTTTGAATATCCAAATAATACTTATTTATTGAAAGTGTTTTTTCTTATAAACACTTTTGATAAAGAATTGATGAAAAAGTAATTTTTGAATGTCATAAGTCATGAAACACACTATAAGTGTCACTAATAACAATATTAGTCAGTATTTTGTAGCACAATATCAATACCCATGTAATTTGTAGCCATGACCTTCCCAAATCAACTCATCACAATATCAATAAAACACATATTTACCTGAAACTTTCTCGAAGGTTCCAATAATGCCAAAGACTCAAATCCAAACCGATTATCCAAAATATGCAACTTTATAGTTTAATTTAATATTTGATAAATACACCAAACAAAGAATTTTTACAATCTCTTGTGAAGAATGGGTAAAGATACGTTACCCCACATATATATATATATATATATATAGAGAGAGAGAGAGAGAGAGAGCAAAAAATTGGAGGAAAATATCTGAACTTTATTGGAGGATGGCAACTTTGGCTTGAAGTAGCCAAAAATCCAGTTCGAACACCATTGGTTTGCGGATTGAGTTCGTCGTCTCGTTGCCCTTGTCTAAGAAGTGTGACTTGTTGCCCATTATCTGCAAAGTGATTTTTGTTTTGTAGAATATTTATTACAATATAACAAAGGGCAAAAAAATAAAATAATCATTCAAAAGTCAAATTGTTCTGTCTTCTTCTCATTTTTTGTCCATTTTTGGTGTGAAAACAAATTGTGGGCGGGAGGGAAAAACCCTCCCTTCAATTTTCCTTTCTATCATTCTTTCCTTTGATACCAAACAATGGAAAGCTTTTTCAACCACCCAATTTTTCTTCCCACATTTTCCATCCATCTCATTTTCCTTCCAACCAAATAGAGCATTAAAACAAGTGAAAATTGGGTCTGAGTCTTCTTAGATGGACTTATAATGACTTGAGTCCATCAAAAAAACTTATTTGAGGGTAAGTCCGTTTTTAATCTTATTAGTAAGAAGTTAAGTCATTTTTTTTAATCTAAAAAATATCATTAATACTGTTAGTTTAGTCAGTAATAGAAAGTTGAAGAAATTATTTACAAGGAGTTATATATGGAGGCCAATGATTGAATATAAGAATACTTGATTTATGATGGTAATTGTTAATTACAAACTTTTCATAATACTTCAAATTAAATTTCTTAGTCATTATTTTGTTTGTTAGACATTTAAATAATTGACTTTCGAGATTTGAGACTAACTTGAAAGGAATGAAGGTTGAAGTTGAAGTAGGAAACTCGAAATTTTGAAAATTAACGTAAACAATGCACGCCAAGTACTTGATGTTAGCATAATAACATCAGTTCATTAAATACATATCACTTTTTTTTCTTAATGTTACTGTTTTTTATTAACCATGTTATTACTTTTTTTAGTGTTATTTTTTTTATGCTGGTTATGAGTTTGAATGTTACTATTTTGATTTTTAATTTCGTTCAACGTTCCATATTGCTAATTTTTTGGTGAGCATGTTCCTATTTTTATTAAACATGTTACTATTTTTATTGAATATGTTACTATATTTGTTGAAAATGTTACCATTATTATTTTTTTTAAATATTAATATTGAATATTACTATTTTTTTATGTTTAAATGATATTATTTTTTGTATTTAAATAATAATTTTTTTTTTGTATTTAAATGTTACTATTATATATATTTGGGAAGGGGGGAGGGAGACTGAATTCTTAACTTCAAGAAGCCAAAACCTTTACAAGATAAAGAGTACCATTGGACTAAAGGCCTATTGATTATCTATCTATCTATCTNCTTGAATAGAAAGGAAAGAAAATTTATGCACATGGCTTCCATTCGAATGGTACAAGAGTACCATTGGACTAAAGGCCTATTGATTATCTATCTATCTATCTATCTATCTATATATATATGAGAGAAATTTTGTTAATATTAGTCAAACTCCTAAAATTTAAGAATTTTTTAAATATGTTACTATATTTGTTGAACATGTTACCATTATTATTTTTTTAAAATATTAATATTGAATGTTACTATTTTTTTTATGTTTAAATGATATTATTTTTTGTGTTTAAATAATTTTTTTTTTTGTATTTGAATGTTACTATTTTATATATAATTTTTTTTGGGAAGGGAAAGGGGGAGGAGGACTTGAACTTTTAACTTCAAGAAACCAAAATCTTTACAAGACAAGGAATACCATTGGACTAAAGACCTATTGGTTATATATATATATATATTAGAGAGAGAAATTTTGTTAATATTAGTTAAACTCTTAAAATTTAAGAATTTTTAATTTTTTAGTTTTATTTCACTTCTAAAGGGAAGAGATAGTCTGATAAAATTGAAAAAAAAATAAACTTTATAACAAATAATTTATTTTGATGAACTTAAGTTCAAATAAGTTTATATAGGAAGACTAACCTCCAAATTTCTCCTAAAACATTTACAAAAGAACTCTTTGGTGATCTTTTTGAAGTTTAGTGTACAATTGCTAACTCGGCCCAACCAGCTAGTAAATCTGTATAATAGGTTCTCCACTTGATGCTATTGTTCAAAGAAAAATGTTACGTG